GGTCTGGGACCTGACAGCCTGGTATAAACCACGGCGGTCGGACACTGCTGACATCGTTGACTCCCTAGGCAACCCAATCCTCACCCCCGAGGATCTACGCGACAACGCCGGCCCGACCTTCCATTCTGCGGAAGGTCGGCCCGTAGACCTCACCATCGTCGACTCTATGCCGGCTCTCCCGGCCCGCGATTGGCCGCCCTTCTCCCGTCAAGAGCTCCTCGACGCTCTCCACGCCACCAACTCCCGGTCCGCCCCCGGCTGGGACCACATCACGTGGAAATTCCTCAAGTGGGTCCTCGCCACCCGTACTAAAGGTCATGAGGCCATCCTCATTGGCTTTGTCCACCTCTTCAACGCGATCTTTTCACACGGCGTCTGGCCGGCACCTTTCCGCCGTGCCGTCTCCGTCCTTCTCCCTAAACCGAACAAGACTGATTACACACTTTTGAAATCTTACAGGCCCATCGTTCTCCTCTCCACTATTGCCAAGTGGATGGAGAAAGTGGTAAACAATCGTTTCACTTTTGATGCTCACTCACACGGCATACTCCACCCCCTCCAGTTCGGCTCCACGTGGCAATGCAGCACCACTGATGCCGTAGCCTCCGTCGTCAACCACATCCACGGCAGCTGGCGCAAGAAGATGGTCACTACCCTCCTTGCCTTCGACGTCTCCCAATTCTTCCCGTCCGTCAACCACGACCTCCTCCTCGCCCTCTGCACTCGACAGGGTTACGCGCCTGCCTTCACCACATGGCTCCGCGCCTATCTCGCCCCCCGCACCACGTCTTTCCAGCTCGGTTCCCTTTCCTCCCCTGAGTTTCTCACACCCCCCGTCGGCCTTGGCCAAGGGTCGTGCCTTTCCCCCACCTTCTCCGGTGTCACTGCTGCCCCACTACTTTACGCTCTCTACTCCCTATTCCGTACTCACTCCGGACAATACAGACACTCTTACGCACACCTCTACGTCGACGACGGCAACATCCTCGTCTCTTCTCCCTCCATCTCTCAAAACCTCACCCTCATTCACGATCTCTTTCTCTTTGCCGAATCCCTCCTCACCCGTCTTGGTTTCATCCTCGAGCATGACAAAACCGATCTCATTCATTTCATCTCCCCCAACAATGCCTCACAACGACCCTACGTCGATTCTCCACTCGTTCTCAACCGCGGTCCCTATTCGCTTGCCAACCCTCTACGCCCTCAGCCTGTCGTTCGCATCCTCGGATACTTCCTCGACTCCACCCTGTCCTGGAAGCAGCACATCTCCTTCTGGGCGAACCGTGCCTCGTCCACTGCCATCGCCACCCGCATGCTCGGCTCGTCGCTCCGGGGCTTGTCCCCGTTGCAACGCCGCCGGCTCTACGTCTCCTGTGTCCTTCCTGTCCTTACGTACGGTTGCCAGATCTGGTACCGCCCGAAGGGTGCCAAGCATCTGGTCAAGCCCCTTAGTGTAGCTCAGAACATTTCTCTTCGCTGGATCACTGGCGCCTTCCGAACGACCCCGGTTGGCGCCCTTCATGCTCTCTCTGGGGTTCTCCCCGTTTCTATTTACTGCGCAAAACTCCAACAGTCTTACCGTCTCCGCATACACACTTTACGCTCCTCCCACCCCGTTAAAGCCCTCTTCCCCTCGCTCTATCACGTCCACAGCACCATTCCCACCTTCTCTTTTTACCCCCCTCTTCTTCCCCCCCGCGCTCCGGTCTTCCGGTCCGGCCTTGGTGCCGTTTCCTCCCTCCCTGCGCGTCCCAAGTTCCTTCCGCTCCCTCCCAACTTTCCCACCCCTCTTGCTTCCTTCCACCACAGCGTCACCCATGACTTCGACCCACTCGACCCGCTCTGTCGCCCCGGTGATCGCCTCATCAACTGCTTCCCAGACCGCATCACCCTCTACCTCGACCACCCGCCCAAAGCCTCCGAGGCCTTCCCGGAATGGCTCGACTCCATCCTCCGCCCCCGCATCTCCTCCGCTCACTGCGACCCCGACACGCTCGTCATCTACACCGACGGCAGCGCCTCGGACCGCACCCGCATCCGCCCCACCACTGCCTCCTTCGCCGCATACTTCCCCGGTGACACACTCCTTCACCAGCACGCCGCCCCCGCCGGCTCTGGTTTCTCTTATACGGCTGAACTTACCGCTCTCCGCGACGCCATCGTCTACGCTGGGACTACGGTTCAGCCTCACATCTTTGTCTTCACAGACTCCTCCTCCGCAGCCTCTGGACTCTTCCATGTCCGTGATGGATCCCCTCTCCACCTTGAGGTATCCGCCACTCTCTACGACTGGCTCTCGGCCTCTGCCGATCACCACATCACCATCTCTTGGTGCCCTTCACACGTTGGCATCGACGGCAACGAAGCTGCTGACAAGCTCGCCCACGCCCTCCTCGATGACATCACTGCGACCATCGACGAGTTCCCCGACACGTGGCTCGACCGCTTCCCTCCCGCGACCGCCGAACGCCTCGCCCAGACCCACTACTCCACCGCCAAGCACTCCGTCCGGACTGATGCCTGGGACGCGTTCCAGACGCTCTCGCTCCTTCCGGACGGGGAAACCCCGGACCCCTCTTTTTTCGGCCACGACTATGTCATGTCGAAGGCCACTACCACGTTCCTTCCCAATCTCACGGGGTCCATCATCAGACGCATGGGCAACCTCTCCATCACTTCCTACGCACGTACCGTCCGCGCAATCACCGGCCACGGTCCCTCCGGCGCGTATCGCGCCCGCTTTCGCCCCAAGGCAGGGGAACCCACACTTTGCACGTGTGGTTTCTCTGAACCTCCTCCCCTACAATCACACTACCACATCGCGTTTGAGTGCCCCGCGTACTACCGCGGCAACTTCGCACCCGCTCACCTCCTCGAGCTCGACCCTTTCCCCCTCATCCGGGCCTTCCTTCAAGTTAACCCCACGGCTTTCACGTTTGATGACCTCCCAGTCGCCCTCGACGACGCTGCGCCCGACGAGCTTCCCCTCCCCCTCAGCCAGGCCATCAAGCGCCTCGCCGAGCTCTCCCTCCGTCACGAGGCCCTTTCCCGGCGCCTTTGGCGTGACTTCCCCCTCACGTGCCGCCAAGATGACCGCGCGGCCATCGCCGCGCAGTTCCTTGAGCACGCGCACATTCGCCCTTTGCCCCGGGCGCTCCTCCCCCTACTGGACTTCGGTCACGAGTCCCTCCTCCCCCAGCGCTGCCGGCACGACCGGCGGTGCCTACTTGCGCGAGGCCACAAGTACGCCCCGTTCCGGATGCGGCCGGACGGACGGAAAGCCCGCAAGCTCCTACGACCGGATGGGCGACTATCCCGGTCTTATCCCCTCACTGTCACCGAACTAGCCGGGCGGATAGTTTGGCGACACTTCATTCCCCCCCCCTCGTCGTCGTCCTCCTCCTCGACGGCGACCACTCTTGTTACGGATGGGGACGGCGACTCCGGGTCGCCGTTGGCAGATATGGTGTGAGCGGGTAGGTGCGGGTCCTTACTCCACACGCTGACTTCGGTCGTGGTCCGAGCACGCTGGTGCAAGTCTTAAGTGACGCGCTGGGTGGAAATGCCAAACAATCTCGGATAAGACGCTTACTTACATACCTACAGTACTGTGTAGCTATGTTTGGTATAAGACAAGATAATAATAATAATAATAATAAAAAAGCTAGCACAGGCAGTGCATTGTTGCCACAACTTTACTTATTTGCCACACAATACACGCCTTCGCGCACAATGATCGCACGAGAGGCACAAATACCATGCAGTCCGTTCTCTCCGTGAGGCAACCTACCATGACCGACCGGCACTCCCGGGCGAGAAGTTTAGTCTCCACCGTAGCAACGACCGTGACTTGTCTGCTGGAACTGTGTCCGACGACGAGTACAATGGGTTCGTATGTGAAGTTCTTTCCCACAGAAGGCGGGCAGAAGAGAGTGATGGAGAAGAGGCGGCAACATAGAACCCCACTGCAACATGGATCGCATCTAGTCGAGTTCAGATGCCCGGTGATGACACGCCCGATACGCTTTCATCTACTCGTCCCATTGGACAAGCACATATTCTTCCCGCCAAGTCGTTCCTGCCACTTCGTGCACAGCACAGTCTTTCTCACAGGAGAAGATCATGCAGGTGCCCCATTCCATCTCTCTTCGTCCATATGCATCCTGCCCCTTCAGTACCTTCAGCACTTCCGCCCGTCGTTCCTCGTCTGTCATGGTCGCCTGGGCATCGTTCGGGCCTGACCGGAGTACGTTGATCAAGTTCGGCATCAACTGACATTCGAAAACCCGTCGAGACTTGCAGTGCGGGCACGCGGGGAGTGATTCCGGGGTGTAGGTCCGTTTGCGTGGGGGCGTCACCATGAAGCTGGCCTTGGTGACAGGCAGGGGCGGTGCGGGAGGAAGAGGAAAGAGCATGTCAAAAACCTTGTCGCTTGCGTATGGGAGCGGAGTGCCCTTCAGTTCATACCTGTCGTTCGACGATGTTTAATCGAATGTGGCAGGTGGAGGCCCTGGAGAACCTACCGCAGGCACTGTTCCCCCTCGTATGACACTCGCTTGCTAAATCGTTCGAACGCATGGTCGACTTCCATAGAGTTCTCGTACCCCTCACCGCCCCATCCACCATCCTTGGGTGCCCTCTCGCTGTCTTCATCGACGATCGCCCCCGCGGGCCCCTTGAGTTTCGGTGTGGGAGGTAGATACTCGGAGACAGTGGACAGATACTGCGCCGAATACGCTGGGGCGTCCTTCCACGGGGAATCTTCCAATGCCACTGACTGGACAGCTGCTGCCAGCGCGTCGTCGTCGCCGTCGTCGTCGTCTTCGCTGTTACTCTCGGAGCTATGAGGCGATCCGTCGCGCTCGGAGATCTGATTCTGCGGGGAGTCGACTGTAGAGCTTTCCGAGGAAGGCATAGGATCAGAGCCGCCGAAAATTTGAGAGCCTAACCCGAATGGTGTGGGTGGAGCGGATGATGCGCCCAGCTGCAGCACGTCTTTTAGTATTCCCTGGCCTAGGTGAGTACATCGCGACGACAGAGGCACTAACAGCGAAAGGGTTGCTCTTTGCCTGAGCTTTCTGAGCTAGAGCTTCTGCAGCAGCTTTCCCTTGCTGGGCTTCCTTTTTCAGGCGAGCCTGCTTCCTTTCGAGCTTTTCAGCGTACTTTTTGTTGTAGCGCAGCTCCCGCCATGCTCGGATGCTACGGGAGACGATCAACCGAGCTGTCCCCCGTGCAGCTCGGGACGGGACACGCACCTCCCTTCCTTGCGTTGACAGTTGCTATTCGCACAGCCCCAAACGAAGAGTGCCCTGTCGTTCGGGCTGTCCTCCAAGGGACACCAGATTTGAACGAGTAGCTCCATCGGCCGAGAGCAATTGTTGCAAGTCGCTTGGGTGAGCGGAGGGTGAGGTGCAGCAAGGAACGTCTGCGGGCGGAATGGACCCAAGACGACGTTCACGATAGAGGGTGAACGTAACATGAGATCGATATCAATACACGACAAGTACATGCAGGAGAAGCGAAGGCGCATCGTACAGGATGACCACCTATTCGCGATACAGTGGGGTCTGAGAGGTCGGCGACGGAGTCCACGGGGCCGTCTGGGATGCCCAGCTGAACGGCGGTCTCAACGTCTGCCGCTTCCAACTCCTCGTCCGAGTCTGACCATGTGTCGTCGACGTCTGGGTGAGGCATTGCGTGTCGGATGACCTGGAAGCAGTGCAGAAGAGTCAGGATGAGTACGATCGAGAAGGGAGGCGAAGAAAAGTTTGGAAGGTCAGAAAAGCATGAATGGTATAGTTTTAAAGGAATCGTCAATGACTGCTGCGGCGGAGAAGCTCGTTCGCAACATTTCAGACTCGTCATCTAGAACGTTCATCTTGTAAAGTAGGGACGGAAACGGAGACTTACAACGGAGGATAGTGAGTCGCTTTGAGGAAAGGAGAAAGAGGTCAATCGGCCGGGGGAGTGAGTGAGGAAAAATCGCAAACGGAGCCAGCTGCCAAATCAGGCTGGAACCAAACACAGGACAATTGCCGGCCCGAGCAGTCGGCCCTGAGGGCGGTGTTGCGTGCACAGCGGTAAATACTTGGGGCGAGAGGTATATTGTGGCAAGTGCCACCAAGTTGTGTACTCTTGCAGAGTGCCCAAGAGGTTACACAGAGTGCCCAAGAGGTTACATCAGGTTCTCGTGTAAAAAGGCAACGAGATGCTGCTGCGCTAGAGGCACCTCATCGCCTTCACGACAGCTGTTCGACCTGCACCTACACGGGACAGCCGGGCGAGCCACACTGAGCGATTACAGGCCCAGACGAGTCTTTGTGGGCTCGTGCGGGGCACAGAGTACATTGTGGGTCAGCTTGGACGGCGAAATGAGCGGGGGGCGTGTGGGATGTTCATGGCCGGGTCGGAGGGGATCTTGCCGAGAAAGAAGGTTCGGGGTGTCATCTCCCAGGCCATCATATATCGTTCTCCTCTCCCGCGCTTCCCTCTCCTGTTACCGCCCCCATGTCCATGTCTTCGGACTCACCTATGCTCCCCCCTCCAGACCTTTCTCCTAAGGAGCCGGTCAATGGCGAGAAGAAGCGTAAGCGAGGGGCAACCCGTCTTTCCTGTGCAGAGTGTCGCAGGTGCGTTTGATCCAGCGTCTAGCTCCTATCCCGGAGCCCTTAACTCTCTTACCCGACAGATTGAAGTTGCGCTGCGACCGTGCCGTCCCCTGCTCATCCTGCGTCAAGCGAGGTTGTGCTGCAATATGCCCAGACGGTTCGTCTCTTCCATCCCACATACCCTCTTCCGGTCTTGATCGGCCCCCCGTGCCTGTCCACCCATAGGCTCTCTCACCACTGGCAAGGGCAATCGGTATATATCTACCCTCTGTACTGCTCCCTCTCTTACGACGTTCTCACTCAGCGCACCCAGATTCGTCCTTGCCTCGACCCAGGACCTCCACGAGAAGATTAATCAGCTCGCAAACCGCGTACGAGAGCTCGAAGACGCTCTTCGCGCATCCCATACCCTTCATTCCATGGAGCCGCATCCCCTCCTGTCCGACGACCTCTTGCGAATCAAGGCACCTATCCAAAGGGAGAACCTCATCAATACCGGTACCTCCAATGGCAATGCGGAGGAACCAGGAGCCGACGTCGTCGATTCTTTCGGTTCTCTAGCTATAAGTGATACTGGCCGCACCAACTATTTCGGCCAAGCTACTAGCTCGTGGGTGAGTCCAGCCCGCCCTTTGTGCGCACGCATTGCTCATGATCCGACTATCGCATCCCAGTATTTCTTGACGGTCCGTGAGAACTGCCTCTCTCAATGACTCGATGACTGACAGGTCATCGGGTGTAGAACGAGGAGAACAATGATGACGATCGCGATCAACGATCAGCCAACCTGCGCAAACTGCTTTCTCCGGAGGTCCTCTCCCTCAGTGGCCTTTTCCCTATCGCACCTAGCCTTCCGCTCACCCTAGACGCTGAAACTTTGCGGATAGAGCGGCTACGTAGCTTATTTTGGTATTTACCCCCAGTCGACGAAGCCACTGAGTTGCAGAAAATCTACTACCAACACGCCGCGTGGATGTAAGTCATTTCTCCCACTATGAGTACTACTCTCACCTCATCGTCTAGGTACAACCCAGTATCGCCGGCTCAGTTCCATGAAACAGCTTTCAATCAATTCTACAATCCCAATATTTCCCCACAGATGGACGATCCGCTCATGTCCCATCAGTTGGCGCTTTTATTCATGGTGCTCGCTATCGGGAGCCTGATGGACATCAAGCGACCGGCGTACAACATTGAAGCCGAGAAATACCACCAGCTTTCCCGAGCAGCGCTTTTCCAGAGCCCCATATTCGAAGAGCCAACTCTCGCTGCGGTTCAAACTTTGGTGAGTCTAGCTTGATAGTTGCGGGCGATAGTCTCTTATCGCAAAGTGGTCCACAGTATTTGATGGCGTTCTATCTTTTCTTGAGTGAGCGTCACGGGAGCGGTGTCGGCTCGCGCTGGGCTTTCATGGGTCTCGCGGTCAAGTTAGGTGTTAGCGTGAGTAACTCAGTTGGTATGGTGCCTTGAGTATTGACATATCTTGATGTGTCTTCAGATGGGATTACGTGAGTGCTACACCCTTTCTGGTTCATTCAAGACCCTGGCTTCTCATACTCATATGCACGTTAGACCGGGATGCTGGTAGGTGGAAGGTCGACGAAGCTGAGATTCAGAGGCGCCGGGAGAGCTTCTGGGAACTGTATTCATATGATCTCCTCCAGGTCTGTATCCGTATCATTCGCTTCTGAGGGAAGAAGGCTGACGGTGTTGGTTACAGTCGTTCACCCTCGGACGTCCGCCGTCCTTCACGCTAGTTCATATCGATTGCAAAAAACCGTATACAGAGGATCCTTGTAACGACGAGACATGTGAGTCATTGTCATTTTCTTTGCTTCGGTTGTCAGGTGGCTCAATCGCATCCATGCAGTCCACTGGTGGAAGCACAGGTTCACGTCAGAGTGTATGAATCTCGTATATGACCAGGCTTTCGGGGCGAAGACTCCAACATATGGCACGGTTCTCCAGCTCGACCGCAAGCTGCGCGGTTTCACCGTGCCTCCCTCGCTTCAAATTGCTGGGTTTGGTAACTCCGAGTCTCGTGTTGGGCAATACTACGAGAGTGTGCCTCTTATCCTACAGCGTCACCTCGTCCTTGCGATCCGGGAATCCAGTGCGTATGACGCCGTGAGGCTCAGCCAATATCAGCTGATCAAACTTATCATAGACCTCTTGTACATGCATCGCGGCTTCTTTGCTCGGGCAATCAGTGATCATCCCAAGGATCCTCTCGGAAGCCCGTACGGAGGTTCTTTCATTGCCGCCTATAGGAGCGCTGGGTCACTCGTTGCCCTCGTGCGCAACATTCATTCACAGCTGAAGGAGCTCACCGAGCGAATGTGGTTCCTCTGGACGCATCTCTTCTCATGTTCGGTGAGCAATATGCGAGCTCTCCGATATTTGCTGCAGTCACTCAAGGTTAACATTACAAACGCAGATCATCTTGGGGTCCATTGTCACTCGGTGCCCGTCGATGAGCTTGGCGCCTTCTGCTCTCATACAATTGGATTCAGCTTGCGACCTGTTCTCCAAGACAGCCAAGTTCTTCCACGCAGAGAAGGTGCTGGTGAGTGTTCCGATCCATGTCGGAGATTGTCTGGGAGCCTTACTGGCGGTGTTACAGGGAATCATGCTCAGACTTCACGACAAGGCCCACGCTAGTCTAGCTGCCTATCGCAACACGCCGCCTACGCGGGCGGGCACATTCTCCGAACCATCAACGCCTGCGGACGATGACGACGAGCTCACCATTCTCGGAGGCAGAACACGATTGGTCGAGCAGAAGGAGAAGTCGATGTCTCCGCAGATCACGGATCGATCGCCTACATCCATGAATCCAGTCGTGCCCCTGCCCCTCAAGCAACCAGACGAACAGTCCGTCCACCCATACGTCCTTCAGTACCTACGCACTTTTGTTCCTTCCCCACCGAACGGAACATCATCTCTTGGCGCCGGGTCCAGCCACTCTCTCTCATCGCAGCCGGCGGGAATACAGAATGGCGTCCCGGTCTCGCCCACCCACTACCAACCACATCAGACCCACAACATGCAAAATTTGCAGCCGATATCAACGTCCTTTGCTAGCCCTGACGCGTTCCAGCATCAGCAGCAGCCCCAGCAACAACAGCAGTTGCCTGGCCTGCAGATGGAGGGCCTACAGCCGATGTTTCCGCAGTACTTCCCTGTGTTCGACTACGGGCATGTGGGTGGTGGAGGGGCTTCGGAAATGTTTGCGACGTCGCCAGTGCCCATGGATGGCGACTATGGTGGTGGGAGGTCGTATTCCCCCGAGAACACGATGCAGACGGCATGGTCAGACTTCGTGGCGCAGATGGGGATGCAATGATACCTGTTGACGAGCGAAGCGATGTACGGAGGCTAAGAGATATGATACCAGTTGACATGCAGAGTTCTGTCTTCGTGTATTTGTACGTGAATCTGGTGCGATCGCTGCTCTTGATAGGGTCGGACTTGTGCACTTTCTTCTGTTCGATAGTTAGGATAGTATAATGATAGAAGACAGCCTCTAGCTACGCGCGTGCTGGCCATTACACAGAACATCTAGAACGGTCAGTACAAGAAGTGTTAGTGTATGTATAGCAGTTGTTCCATTGCGAGACGCAAGTATTTGCTTTTGTTCATACGTAGCATCCTGAGTATCTAGCACTCGTAGCGGCGGTCTGAGGTTTCTGGCTTTGGTCTTGTTGACATTGTAAGACTTGCGACGAGACTGTGTTTACAGGCAGAGTGCTAGCGCTGCGGGTACTAGCTGAGGAAGCGCCAAGAGGGGTGCCTGGCGGGAAGCCATGTCCATGACCGCCGTACATACTTACTTGGTACCGACCACCGCCTCGACCTCCACGTTCCCCTCAGCTTGCGCCTCCACAGTCTCTCGTCGTACGTACTCATCCGTACCCAGCAACAGCCTACAATTATGGACGCCTTCGAAGACGAAAATCCTTTTGAATCTGAACCAGAGCGTGTCCAGTCCGATGGCTCCTCCTCCCGAGAGAACATCTCGGGCGTGTCGTCTCCCGACATCAATACTCAGCCTGGACAAATTTCATCACCACCAACATCCCCTTCCAAGAGGAACACTTTCCCTTCTCTAGGTTCCCACAGGCAGCCGCAGGCGTACAAGAGCGACTTCTGCTGCGGCAGAGATCACTGGCTCCATTCGGGCGAGGACGTGGAGATTCTGGTCAGTTTCTCGATGCGCCACCACCATGAGCTTTCTGACCAATGCGCCCGACTACCTGCTTTCCTCGTTGTAGATCACGGACGCACTCAAGACTTCTGCGAACTCGTCTTCTCCTTATATCACATACGTCATTCGAGCGGGGGTAAGCACGTTGGCATCAGTGGTAGTGGTATCGTCTGAACTCAGGGCATTCCGCAGAGCGCAGAAGCGCATCATAGATATTCCGAGTTTGAGTCGCTGCGCAACAACCTCGTGAAGCTCTACCCTACGCTCATTATACCCCCGATACCCTCCAAGCAGACCATAGGTGATTATGCTGTCAAGCAGGCCAAGGCGAAGGAGGATGCCGCAATGATTGCACGGAGGAAACGTATGCTCCAGACCTTCCTCAACCGTGTCGCGCGCCACCCTATCCTGTCGAACGAGCACGTCTTTCACCGTTTCTTGGACGGCGAAGTGTCGTGGGTGAGTAATTTATCCTCATTGATTGGGGGTGGCCACAAGAACCACACCTGACCCCGCGGATGCTAATGTGTCCTAGACGGAAGTATTGAACTCGCCCCCGATATCGTTGCTACCGAAGAATATTCTGAAGGCACCCTCGCATAACCCCACTGACCAGAGTGCGTCGCCGGCATATGCTGCTCTGCCCAACCCTTCCGCGGCACACCCCTTGCGAAGGCCCGACCAAAGATTCTTGGACTCGGAAGTGTTCACAAACAAGTTCGCTGCGCATCTGAGTGGGCCGATGGAGAAGGTTACAAGGCGAACGATGAAGAGGTGGTCGGGTTGGTTTTCTGATACTTTGTCGATGGCGATTTACTGAACCTAGTCGGACGTGCAGATTATGCCCAAGACCATGCGGAGCTCGGTGCAACCCTGAACGGTTTCAGCCTGAACGAGACTGGCCAGCTGTCTACGGCGATTGAGAAGACGGGTCAGGCTGTCGATGCGACTTACATGTCTACGACGAAATTGGTAGGTCATATCCATCGTACGTATTTTTGCAAGCATTGACATATAGGACATGTAGCTTCAGGAGTTCGAACAGAACTGGGCGGAACCTCTGCACGAGTACAGCCAATTCGCGTCCATCATCAAGAAACTGCTACAGTACCGACATCAGAAACATGTGCAGTATGAGATGACTCAAGAAGCTTTGGAGACAAAGCGCGAACAGTTGGAGGACCTCGAAAAGAGCGAGAGAGAGGCACGGAGACTAGAAGAGGCCTTGAGTCAGGGGCGCCCCAGTACGCTTCGTGCCTCTTACTCGCACGGTGAGGGGGAGCTTGGGGAGGAGGGTCGACCGGCGACGGACGAGAACGAGGCGCGGCGAGAGGAAGAATCGGTGTACTTGCCGCCACATCCAGGACCGAACCCTGTGAAGCGGAGGGCGCCGGGTATGGGTCTCCTGAACGCGTTGAGCTACACGCTGCATGGGATGATGGACGTGGACCCGGAGACTGCTCGTCGGAACTCGATCACCAAGACGCGGGAGTCGATTTCCCAGGTAAGCGGGCGTTCGAAACGAGAACTGTGATGGTTGCTGACGCAAGAGGCAGTTGGAAGACGCGCTGCACTTGTCGGCGCAGGATCTGAAATACTCAAGTTCGACGATACAAGCGGATCTGGACCGATTCCAGCGGCAAAAGGTAGCGGACTTGCGGGAGATGGCGATCAGCATGGCTCGGAGCCATCGAGACTGGTGCAAGAAGGTAAGAGGACAGCAGTCGGGAAAGCGGAGTGCGACTCTGACGTTAGAGAACAGAACTTGGAAGCATGGGAGGAGGCCAAGGCAGAGATTGACAAGATACCGGACCATCCGAACCGGCTGCCGGAGGAGGAGGGTCTAGGAACGAATGGGGCCGCGGGACACGGCAGAAGGGACTCGATGGCAACGATCAACGGTTAGTAAAGCGTAATGTTTGAATGTGAAGTCTGGGATGGACGGGATTTGGATCGCACTTTTCCCAGAGGACGATTGTTAGAGTACATGGTGTTAGCTTGAATATACGCTTAATGACTGGCGATTGCGTTGTGATGGCAGCGGTGATTGGCCAGAGACGGAAGCAAATGGGGGCGTTCGCGGGGGACACGTTGGGCGGGCGATCAGGGCTGAGGCGTTGGCGGGCGTGGCGTAATACTTATGGCATGCGGAGCCCACTCAGACGGCGGGCGGGGATGAGAGGACAGGCGGGTGCTGGGAGCTGGCCACTGTGGGAGGCCTCCGAGCCGTGGGCATCGGGGCACTTGCGACGCGCGAGCGGCTCCGGGGAGTGGTTGCTTGTACTTACTTACTCTCCCGCTTGGATGCAAGTCCCTCCTCCTCCTCCTCCTCCTCCTCCTCCTCCTCCTCCTCCTCCTCGTCGCACACTTCTCCTCCACCCCCTCGCACCCGCTGCTGGATGCTAGCTCCCGCACCGTCCCGCACTCCCCGTGTTCACCATGGCTACCACCCTAGAGCCGCCCTCGATCTCCCTCCTCCGCTCCAAGTCTAGCTTCAGCTCTCTCTCAGACTCTGCTTCTCTCCATAATGAAGCCGACCACTCCGCCCCTCCACGCTTCCCCCACACCCGTGCTCAGCTCGCCGCCATCGCCCGTCTCTACAAGCCAGACGCATTCATCGGAGATACCGACGGCGACCAGAGCATCAGCTCCTCCCTCATCGCCCGCGTCGTGAGCCTTCTTGACGCCGAGCGCGAGGAGGAGCTCAAGAGCCTTCTCAAGGACATGTTTGGCCCCATCAGCGATGAAGAGGTGCGTCCTACATCGTTCTGGCCCTTCGCTGCCACACCGCGCTCACCCCCGGCGTTCGACGTTCTCCAGCTCGAGCAACATGTCCTCGACCTCATGCACAAGCATAGAGACGACATAGACAACGTCCCCTTCCTCTTCTTGACTCCTACTCGTCGACCAATCTCTCGGCCTTCTTCCCGTGCTTCCACCCACTCCGCTCGTCTCATCCCAAACCGTCCTGATACGCCCAACTCCGCTCCTAGTTCCCCTCTGGCTATGATTTTCCGCAGGCCTCATACCCCCCTCTCTTCTCCCCTTGGTCCCATAGGCCCACAGCCGTCTTCTTATATCTCTGGTCGCAGCGAGTCTCCGGGCGCGTCTCCCATCATCACTCATGCTCAGTTCGCCGTCAGCCTCCCGTCTTCTCCCATGCTGTCCCCCCGCCTGCTCAACGCCAAGGCTTCAGAGTTCAAACCGATCCCTCGTCCTCTTTCTGCAGCCTCCTCCAACCCAGGCTCGCTAGCCGCCCTCCGCGGTGAAACTCCTTCCCCGGACTTGTGGGCTCCGCCCTCCCGGCCGACCTCCAAGCTCGCTATTGCTGCTCCGTTGACTCCTGACAGCACTCTTCTTCACAGGGCCGGTACTCCCAACTCGTCTTTGCGCTCTTCTATGCGTCCTGATGAAGAAGATGACGATCCCTTCGACCCCTTCGCTGCTCGATCTATCCCCCGGTCGTTCCACCCAGGCGCCCCCGACGACTTGCTATGGGGTCATTCTCCCATGTCTAGTCCGTCCATATCTGCGGACGATTCGCCATTTCCTCAGATCTTTGGGAGCAATCTGGACCACAACGGATCATCCCATGAACCATCCTCGCGGCAGAGCCAGGACGATGACATGGACCCTGAGATGGCTGCCATGCTCACCGATGGTATGACACCGTTCGATGTCCTGAGCTCAGTCTTCGGTGCTACCCTCGCACCGTCCGAGCTTGAAGAAGCTCTGGCCACAAATGGCTATGACTTCGAGCGTGCTATGTCCTGGCTGATTGACCGTTCGGCCACGAGCCATCCTGGTCCAGCTCAGCCCAGGATACAGTCGGTCGGCAACCGAGTCATGCTTGTCCAGCGCGACGGTCACGGCGTGCGGGGAGGCAGGGCAGCATTCCACGGTCCTCAAGGCCGCAATGGAGGTCGATTTGTGAACGGTCGGCCTGTCCAGGGTGGGAACCGTGTATGCAGATACTTCCTTGCGGGAGAGTGTTTGCGGGCGGATTGTCGGTTCAGGTCGGTTCATCTCTGTGATACTCAACGGCGCGCACCACTGAATGGCTGCCTTTAGTCATGACTTGGAGCGAGCGCTCTGTCGATTCTGGCTCCGGGGTACATGCGCCAAGGGAGAAAATTGCGAGTTTTTGCATCACCTTCCGCAAGACATAGACCTCCAGGGCTTGGGCCATGCTATGTCACGCGTGGACATTCATGGCGGACAGTCTGAGCAAAAACAAAGTGCCTCCCTCGACGACTTTCCGAGTCTCAGTCACGCGGCTTCCTCCGGCAGAGACAATGGAACTAGGCGTGGCGCGTACGGCTTCGGTCGCGGAGAAGGTGGTTATGACCCGGGCCGCACCCGGTTCGCTGCGGCGGTCAAGAAGCCAGCTGCGAACGTCCAGACGCAGATTCCCAAGGACCCTGCCACCTTGGCAGCACGCAGAGAGGCCATGGGCAGCTCTGCAGAGCCATTGCACCCCAACACTGCTATCGTGGCGCCCAAACCATCGCCCAGAATCAAGCTCAGACCGCCGACCCTACTGCCTACATTGCCCACGGGAGAGTCGGTGAACAAGCTGTACATGGCGTACCGCTCAAGGGCTCTTCGTCTTGGGGCTGCACGCAACGCCTGTCTCTCGCGCGCCGCTGACGCTTGGAGGCGTGGGGACGGGGCGGCTGCGAAGCGTTTCAGTCGTGAGGGGCACGACCTGAATGCTAAAATGGCGGCTGAGATGGTTGAGGCCGCAGGCAAGCTGGTTAGGGAGCGTGCAAGAGTGGTCGAACAAGCTGTTCGTAGCCGTGACGCGGGCTGGTCGGACGATCCGGGTGACAGGACGGCTCGTGGCCGCATCTGCGGCGCCGGACTAGGTGTTTGTCTCGGTATCGCCAGCCAGTCGGTTGGCGGAGACACCAAGATGACGCCGGAGGAACGCACGGAGTCCATGCTCGATCTGCATGGCCTGCATTCCGCAGAAGCCACGGAAGTATTGGAAGAATTCCTGCTCGCGGTAAGACAATAGTCTTTCAGCGGTCGTGTCCTTGTGCTGAACGATTACATGATCCGTAGCTTGAGAGAGAGCACTTCTATGGTCTGGGTGAGTGTTTCGTCGTTTCATAGCGTGCTCGTCGTGCTGAGATTTCCATAGCATATCTTGTCGTCGGAGAAGAAAAGCACACGGGCACTCAAGATCCTGCTCGTGGCGCCTCCAGGGCGCGGCTTGCCACTGGCGTTCGCGAGTGGTTGCACATGTGGGGTTACCCCTGGAGCGAAAGGGACGGTGTCATCTGTGTAGATCCTCTCACGCATCAGTGAGATCAGTGGTTGATTGGAATCATTATGGATGGAAACAAAGAAAGGATTTAGTGTACGTTACGACGACAGATGTGGGGGCGGAGAAGGCAGTGGATGAGGAGGTAGGATATGTATGCACTAGACTACATGGGATTGTTTTGCTGTCTGTTTCATTGTACATATATATGAGCTAGTCATCGTTATAGCCAACAATGTGGAAGGTCGGGGACAGAGCTGACGTTGATATTCAACAGCCGCATTGATGGTGACCGCCACGCGGTGGAGCGAGGATGGCGGCGTGGCACTTTGCAACCACCGCTCATGATCTGCAACTAACACAGATCAATCCCGTCGGTTACCAACTCGTCGTCGCTGCGCCTCGGCACGCTTTCCTGTCCGTCTCACAGCCTCGCGGGTCCGGCCTGTGTCCCGACGCACAGTTCTCCATTCCTATTCAGTTCTCATAACGTTACGACCACTCACGACTATTGTTCGGTCTTCCTCTCCCTTACCACTATGGCCAATCTTCCCTCTGATGAACCCCAGATCATCCTCAACTCGGACACCACTCGCCCAATGTCAATAGACTTGAGTCTCGAGCTCGAGCGACAGCTCGAGGCCGAGTCCCTTCCCAACTCGCCAAATCCGCCGCGGCCACAGTCACTCGATACCAACGTCCTTGCCAACATTGTTACCCAACTTCGTCTGTCCTTGGCTGAGATCACGAAGGAACGCGATACCCTTGCTGAGAAGGTGACTGAGGCGCAAACAAGAGAAGAAGGCATGCGGGAGACCCTGGAGCACGTCACAGACAAGTGTATCCGAATGGAGAACGAACTCGAGGTCGTCGCAGACCAGTTGAGGGAGAGCAAAGAGACAATTGTGATGCTGAGGGGTAAGGTCGAGGAGAGCAGGTACGTTGAGGAACATCATTGGTACCATTCCCGTCTTCTGATCTGCGACGTTTGGGGGGCAGACGCGCTTTGATGCGCCTTCAGACCGAGAAGCGGATGAGCGTGGCTTCTAATCTGACCCTCGACTTATCAAGGCCACCTCCCACGCAGACCTCCCTCAGTGGCCCCCCTTCGTCTAAACGTGCGTCCTTCGCGCCGTTGACCGGATCTCCTGCTGGGCGCGGGGGCTACAATCACCGCCGCATCTCCTCAGTCTCCGACTCAGCATTCCTGCTGACCGGCCCACCCAACGGAGAACCCTCGACGTGGCCCCCACCGTCACCTATGTCTCAATACATACCGGAGGTTCCGGAGTCCAACCCCACTGACCGCCCTGGCAACAACCGGCGCATGTCACTGCTCTTTGGGCGGGGCGCTGCAACGCCACCCGAACCTCCGTCGACCGACACCGACGTCGTGGAGCTCCGTACACAGCTTCGAACCATGCAGCGGCAGCTGGATGACACGAAACGCGACCTCATCGAGTCTCAAGAGGCTCGCGAAGCCTCCGAGCAATGCGTCCGCGCCTTGCGTACCTTCATATCGGAGAACAACGTCGGCGTGGCGTCTGCCTTGAGGACGGGTAGCCCTGCCGCAGCTCCTACGACTCCCTCACATTCGAAGCAGGGAAGCACAGCTTCGAGGTGGGGTTTCAGGTTGTGGACTACCTCGGATGCGGATTCTCCCAAATCCGCCACGCCTGCTCTCACTCCCATCTCCATGCAAGCTCCTGAGCCGGGATCGGCAGTCTCGAGCCACAGTCAGGCTATCCCTCGGAAGTTCGGCGGGCTCTTCAACGCGAAGACAAGCATTCCTTCGAACGCTTCGCCTCGGCCTTCCTATGACCCTCTCCACCAGGAGCCCATGTTTAACGGCTCAGATACCTCCTCGATGGCCGATTCCACGGGGCCGGTAAGTCCCGTATCGGAAGTGCCGAGAACCAGTGTGGGAAAGCTTGATGGGAAGCCAATAACATCTGGAGGCGATGAAGTGGAAATAACATCATTGGACCATGGTCAGGACATTCCTGTAGCGTCGACAGCTTAGTTTGTTTTTGCCATCTCTTATGGATTTGTGATATACAGCAGGTGTTGTCTGATCCCTACGAGGGATAGATATCTGGTACAGCTGGTTTCAGCGCGCTTGTCGTGAGAGCGCCGCGTCGCGTCTCGTGTATTTGCCCGTTTTCCCCCTCCTAAGCGCCCCCCATAGGATCTTTGGACGGCAATATCTCATTGACTGCGCAATGTATGGACACCTCATTCTTGCATATTCTGGCTCAGGAATATGGCGCGCAGGGCAGGGCATGGTACTGAACTTAATTTGCGTCTGCCCTTCCAGCTCCCTCGGACAGTGCTGTTGACTGGATGGCAGATGTTGTTGTGGCGACTTGGCGCATAGACTCGGGTCGATGTTCGGCAACAACCCCGTAGGCGAGCGGCAAGGAGCTGAAAGGAAAGAGAGAGGTAGAGAGGGATAAATATAGCAAGAAACTCGATGAGGGCAGAGCGGAGGTCGGCATGAGGGCACAAGACCTACAAAAGCTAGCCTTCACGCAGACAGCAACAGACTAGTCTCAATGATCAAGTTATATATTAGCACTTGAGGGGAGGTACAACACTATGGTCACTCACCTAGTTTGAATGACCAAGAGGTCGAGATGGGGACTAAGGAGCGCTTAAGGGGGTCCTTATATACTAGAGGGGCTGCTTGCAACCCAAGACAAAGGCGCAAGAGCGAGGCAGGAAACATGACAAAGGGGGAACAAAGGGTGGGGTGGAAAAGGCAAGAGCATGATGATCACGGGAGCAGAGCATGCTGGTGTGGGAACATATCTACAGTGTCTGTCACAGTTTTCTCGTGCCACGTGACCTGGAGGTCATGTGTACTAGGACAGACGCTCACCTTGACTGTGGACAACTCGTATCGGAAAGTGAAGGGGCCAGAATTGAACCCCAGACCTCATGACGGTCAGGAGCGCCCATCCTCACTTATCGGCAGGTGACTGATGTGACAGCAGGAGTGCTTACTCATTGGAAGGGGTCCGGACTCGGCACAACTCAGGTATTAGTTGTAAGGTCACCATGAGGCAGATCAGGGGGTAGGACATGAGGTCGAGAACTCTGACCAAACAATGGTCAATAGGTACCTGGTCTGTGCACCATTGTATTAGTATATATAGTAGGGAGTCTGAGGCAGGGAACCTCAGACTTGATCTTCTTGTCGATCCCCCATCTCCTCTGTAGGTAGCTAGCAGCCCTACCTTCTTCTGCCCCTTCTAGTTTAGGAAATTCACATCTTTGCATCATTCCTTGCTGTGTTACTTGTGGTTGCTTCGCTTTCAGCACCAACCCCTTCACCAGTAAGCTTTGTCTTTGTTTATCTGGTGGCACAGCTCGTTGGCTGTGACATTAGATCAAGTCTCTTACCCATCCCCTCCGTGAAGTGTCTCAACCACTTGCGGACCAGATCTCTTCTCCCAGGAGTTTTTTGGAAGGTTTATCATCCCCTCCCACTATCCTCCCATCCGACTCGGACCTACCGGAGTTTATCTGTCGTCACTTCAAGTGTTACCGTTGGTACGCTCCACCCCCTATCTTTTCGCTATTGGACTACTCCTTCTCATCGCCCTCGTGTACACTCCAACCCCCTTCCTGTTCCCGGTGACCTATGCTTACCCTCCTGTTCCCCTGTCGTCCGCCTGTACACTACCATCCCCCATTCCGCCCCCTGACGACTGCGTTCCTAGTCCCGGCCCTCTCCCTTAATGTTTCCCCTTTCATCTATATGACCGGACCCTGAGTCCGACCCTGACCCTTTCCCTTTTTGGTTACATTACTTTACCCTGACCCAGACCCCGACCCTTGTCACGCCCCCTTCCCTTTTTGGTTACATTACCCGACCCTGACCCAGACTCAGAACCCTGTCCCGCCTCTATCCCCTTTCGGTTATATCACAGGACCCTGACCTAGGTCGTGTACTATACCGGGCCCAGCCTCGACCAGACGTGTTTCTTTACAGTCTCCTCATACCTCCCCACTTTGGTCGGTTCCCTTCCCCTTCCTAATACGGTCAGTACCCCATAGTATATAAGGAGGCCTGTAGTCGGTAGAGGCTCCCCACTTCTGTTCTCCTCTTCGTTACCTCCTGTATCCCTATATCCCTCAATCAAGAGACTTGTGCGATACTCTCTCCCTGTGTGCTACACCGTGTACTTGGATAAGTCTGCGTGATAAGGCTGGATAGACTTGTGTTGGTACTTCAGCGTAACATTAGAACAGAATTTCTTCCACCACGCCCTGGATAGGACTCCCTGTGGCGCACTCTATTCGTCAACTTGCAGACCGACTTCGACGAACGCATGGCCGTGACCATACTACGGTCAATTACTTGGACGATGAGGTAGTCGTCTACAACCACAACCGCACCCCCGAGGAACATCGAGCGTACAACCTAGTACGACGCCAAGCCACACCAGCGGACACCGAACGTTCCATTCGGCAGCTCGAGGAAGCATACAGACGTACGACCTACCAGGAAGGATTACTCCTTGATCGACCAGTAGCACCAATGCCTCAGAGACAGGCAGCTATTGAACTCATCCGTCAACGGACACTTGACCGAATCGGAAGGACTCACGCACGAGCCGTCCTTCACAGCCCCGTTTGGAACGAATATCGCCTAAGCATCGGCTCTTGGGCACCAAGCCAGGCAAGCCTCGAGTTTACTATCCTTGACGAACTCGAGCATTGGGTACTCCGTGACGACGGGTACGACGCGGACGACAAACTACCATCGCTCGTCAACATCGAGCAAGAATCATTGGCAGGCAACCCCCCAAGCCCCGAACCACTAGACATCCTCTCCCTCCTTACGAGAATTCGGGACAATGCGAGCGCGTTGCACGACATCACCAACCACCACCCAACCCTCACCCCGATCTCTGAGCAAGCACACATCCAGGTTCTCATCGAACAAGTTCAGCTGGTCCTCAACACCCTTCACAACCTCCAACGGCTCGTCAGCCCACCCCTTCCCCCCATCCCCGTTAGCCACGACTCAGAAGAGCGCCACGGATCCAGTTACTTTACTGCTCGGATTCGCGAACAGGCCGAGATTCTTCGTAACATTCAGAGTCTTTTGGACCCAGACTTCGCTGAACACTGCCGATGCCTACATCTACTCGTTGGGGCCAGGGAACTATACAAATCTCACCATTGCATCATTCAAAACAGATACAAGTCCCCTGACACTAGTTCCGATTCCGACTATTCGGCGACTCTACGCAACTTCCACCTGGACTAGGTACTCCTCCGCATGAATATGCAATGGACCGATTGCACCCAACGCATTCACCGATATGACCCAGAGAATCAACGCGACATCAGCTTCAATAGAGAAGGACAGAACAAGCGCAATTGCAACAACCACCTGTGCCCCAACCAATACAACGAACAGAGCAGCCCCAACATCACCGCCGGAAACGCGCCACAGAAAAGGCAGGAAGCCTTGATCCGAACGACTTGGGCCCTCAATCGAACAACAGCCCCCTCCCCTCCACGTAGCCCTGCTACCCACCGAACCAGTTCCCTACCAGACGTAGCAAATGAGCCCACCGAGGATACACCTTTGTCGGAAGACAACTCCGCTCCTCGATACAACAACAAAATCTCCACCGCCCTTCACGATCTTCTCCAGGGACACCCGGACGAACCAGGCAGCGACGCAGACACGACAACAGAACTCATAGACACCACTATGTCTGCAACCCAGCAAGAACAAGCTCGGACCCAGAGCTTCTCGTCCCGTGCAACGAACGAGCCGGGCGTCCCAGACGTACCACCCCGTTCTAGCCTCCCCAGTTTTCAGCTCGGAAACTTGTTCACCCCCCAAGACAGCATCTCCTCGCTACGCCAGGCAACAGGGGCCCAACCCGGCCAAACCACTCGCTACGCCAGCGGTGGGACTCCGACAGCACAACCCGTGATGCCACCTACTACTGCTGCACCGCCTGGTCGCCCACCTACACCCGCTGGTCTGCCTCAAGGACCTGTCGAACCTCCGCAGGGCGGCGGACCTCCGCAAGGTGGCGGACCACCTCAAGGCGGTGGACCTCCCCACGGCGGCGGACCCCCTCCGGGTGGCGGACCTCCCCAAGGCCCCGGCGGACCACCACCTGTGGCTCCTCTCGGCGCACCAGGCGTCACTGCCGGATGAACCAAAGTCCGCGCACCCAATGTTTTTGACGGAGACCGCGACAATCTATGCACCTTCCTCAATGAACTCTTCCTGTTCTTTGAAGCACGTCCAGCCAACTATGCCACCGACCAGAGCCGGATCGTCACCGCCCTAACGTTCATGGACGGACCGAAGGTGATCGCCTAGAAGGACAGATACATCGTTCAGGCACAACGAAACGGCTGGAACACCTGGAACGTGTTCGAGACTGTCTTACAACAGACCTTCCAGCCCATCGAGGCAGCCACTACAGCCGCCTCCACGCTGTACCACCTCGACTATTGACCTGCCGCGCCATACACCTTCAATGCGGAGTTCTTCCGCCTCTGCGCCCTCGCCGGTATACTCGAAGACAGTGCTCAGCTGTCCTTCTACAAAGAGCGTCTCCCAGAAAGCATGCGATGACGGGTTCGCCTCACGTACCCCATCCCCACCACCATTAACGAGTGGGCAGCACGGGTATTGGAGATCGAACACTCCAACTACGAAGAACGACACCTGCGCCAACTCGAGGGACGCTCTCGCAACGACCGACAGGGCCAAGGCTCGAAGGGACAATCCGCTCGTACCAACTCCATACGACGAGTCGACGCTCCAGCCATGAAGGAGGACAGAGAGAAGAAGCAATGCTTCTACTGTCACAAGACTGGTCACATCGCACACAACTGCCTTAAGAAGAAGGTGGACAATCGTGCCAAGGGATGACAGCCTGGACAGAAGAGGCGGAAGGTGCGCAAGGTCGATGAACTAGAGGATGGTGAGGTCGCCGACGACGAAGACAATGGCGAAGACACACCTGACAAAACGATCAGTCAGGTCGACGTAGATGGTTCGGATGAGGGTTTTTGAACGGACAGTCTTCGCCGACAGAAAACTGCCCTCTGACTGTATTAGTATCTCGTTTGTTGCCACTACAGAACGACGACGTCAATCTATTCTTATCCCGGGCAGCATCGAGTACGAATCTACAAGTGTTGGAGCTCATGCGTTCATCAATTGCGGAGCAAGTGCTTCTCTCCTTAACCGGAATTTCACCAAGAAGCACAAACTCCCTCTCATCACCCTACCCTCCCCCCTTCGTTTCACCAATGTCGATGGCACCACCAACACGGCCGGACCAGTCACCCAGAAGTTTGTTGGCCACTTTCGAATCAATAGCCACGAGTTCCCCACCGAACTCTTCATCGCGGACTGCGGCCGAGACAACATCATTCTCGGAATGCCATGGCTAATCCAGTATAACCCCCATATCGATTGGGTACAGGGCAAGGTCCGGTTTGACGCCAAATACCTGCGGGCGGAACAGCAACTTAGGGAATACCACCAGCGCCCCTCAGGGAATCCCCGTCGACACCTTACCGCTTTCCTTCACGGAGACATCCATCCCGAATGGAACCCATCTGCCATCATTCGACGACTCATCATTGGAGACGCCCCCATCGCTCGCACCACCGTATCAACCCAACTGGCTGTCGAAGCCGGGTCGAAAGCAGCCGACGTCAGGGCTCCCGTGGCCATTTCCGACTACCTCAAAACCTATCACCAGGTGTTTGAGAAGAAGGCAGCCGAACGAATGCCCAAGCCCCGGGCCTGGGATCACCCCATCGACCTGCGACCTGACTTCAAACTCCGGGACTGCAAGTTGTACCCCCTGTCCCCGCTCAAGATGCAGGAACTTCGGAAGTTCATCGACGAGAACCTAGCCAAGGGGTACGTCCGCCCATCCACCTCACCAATGGCATTCCCGTTCTTCTTCGTGGACAAGAAGGATGGCTCCATGCAACCCGTCCAGGACTACCGCTACCTCAATTCTGGCACGATCAAGAATGTCTACCCCCTTCCCCTGATCAACGATCTCATCGACAAGTTGCAAGGGGCCAAGTACTTCACGAAGTTGGACGTCCATGCTGGGTACAACAATGTCCACATCAAAGACGGTGATCAGTGGAAGGCTGCCTTCAAGACCCCCCTTGGGCTCTACGAGCCAACTGTAATGTTCTTTGGGTTATGCAACGCCCCGGCAACATTCCAAGCGATGATGAACAACGGCTTCAAGGACATGATCGCTGAGGGATGGATCATCATCTACATGGACGACATTCTGATACTCTCCAAGACGGAGGACGTCTACCATCATCGAACACAGCAGGTCGTTCAGCGTCTCATCGAAATGGACCTGTTCCTCAAACACGAGAAGTGCGTGTTCGACGCTGGTGAAGTCGAGTTCCTGGGCACCATCATTTGTGAAGGATCGCTTAGCATGGACCCGGTCAAGCTCGACGGCATCCGCACCTGGCCTGTACCCACCACCGTCAAACAAGTCCAGAGCTTCCTTGGATTCTGCAACTTCTACCAACGCTTCATCCGTGACTACAGCAAGATCGCTTGACCACTCACACAACTCACCCGCAAAGACCTACCCTTTCAATGGACGCCAGAATGTCAGGTCGCATTCGACACGCTTCGCAACCTGTTCCAGCAGAAGCCCATCCTTTGCATGGCCGACCCGTCCGGGGCCTTCCAAATTGAATGCGACGCCTCCATGTTTGCCACTGGGGCCGTCCTCCACCAACGGAACAGCAACTAAGACTGGATGCCGGTAGCGTACCTATCCCACGCCCTCTCGCTGTTATGGCGAAGCGTGTCAGCACTCAAGGGGTTGTGTGCAGGTTATGCACAATGAGGATGCAGACTGATGACAAGCTTAGCACACTGGTTCACTGGGGTTCTGGGGGTTCGAGGTCACTAGGGGTCTAGGGAGTGAGAACACTTGATTAGTACAAGAGGTCAAACTGGGGTGCCCAGTGCAAGACCTGTCCTTATATACTAAAGTACACGGTCGCTAACTAATCGGAGAACAATAGTCACAAGACAATAACGATGGAGAACAATAGTGAATGGGGACAAAGGAGTCACGTGGTGTTGTGGCCACGTAGTACAATGGCGGAAAGAACAATAGCGATGAGAACAATAGGGATATGGAGCATGGTGTTGGAACCATGGTAGGTACGAGTGTCCGGGTTGTGCCGTAAGGAGAGGGAATGCATGGTAGAGAGGATACGAGGAGAAAGGAAAAAGAGACACCCCCACAGGGCGTTTGTAACACTCACCTGCGGGACGCAACTATCAGATCTACGACAAGGAGCTCCTAGCAGTCGTTCGCACGTTTGAGACCTGGCAACACTACCTCAAAGGATCCCCCCACATTCTCCAGGTCATTTCTGACCACAAGAATCTCACCTACTGGCGGTCCACGCAGAAGCTGACCCGACGCCAGGCCCGATGGAGTGCATTCCTTGGCCAGTTTCACTTCAAAATCCACCACCGGGCCGGGAAGACCTTGACCCAAGCCGACGCCCTGTCCCGCCGCCCCGACCATGCGGATGGGAAGCATGACAACAAGGATGTTGTTGTCTTAAATGACGGGGTATTTATTCGAGCTGTCACTGATGATCTACTGCTACGAATCAAGGACACCACCCAGAAAGACACCAAGGT